TTGAATTAGCATCGAAATAAAAACTACGTAGCGGTAAACGAGCCGACATTACTTGAGCGGACATCCGGAGCCGAAAAAAAAATATAGTCATTATACAATTTTTTGAGCTATCAATCTTTTTGAACTCAAAATTGCAAGCCCCCCAAACACACAGGCGAGCGCAAAGGACACTTTTGTGTCACCAAATGACCCAAAATGAGTAGATTGAGCCGATACATTACAGGCCAAACATTTTTCTACCCAAGCAAAATAAAACTGAAAGAAAAGAAACGAAACACAGAGGCAATGCTGAGCCTCGCACCACTTCTGCTACCACATAAAAATATAAATGCAAGCTAATAGAGAGGAAACAAGCCAAAAAGTTCAAAAAAAAAACAAATGAAAAAATTTTAGAAGCCATAACTAAGAAAACTTGTCTGGAATGATGGACTTAAATGTCTGAGATGATGTTTTTTTTTTCACGGCCAGCGAAAAACACGGCCAGAAACACAATCGACCGCTATAACAGAAAATTCACAAAAAAATTTTGAGCGGCAACTGAGCCGACAAGACAAAACTTGGATAAATTCCAGTAGAACCGAAAGAAGTTGCAAAAAGTTGCTGTCATGAAAAACTTTAAACTACAAATTCTATTGACTTTTAGCATTTTGAGCGATCCGGAGAAAAGCATAAATATGGTGTTTTCCTTGAAACGGCCCAAAAGTAGGTCAATAAGCCGACCGTGCGACCTTATGTCCATAAGCCAACCGGGTGTCCGCTCAAGTAATGTCGGCTCGTTTACGCTACGTATTTTTTGTTTCGATGCTAATTCAACACGCATTTTTCTTAGAATGAACAAATTGACCAAAAGAATCAAGTGACTTTGTTACAAAAAACTAATAAATCGAAGAAGTCTATGTTCTAATTTAATAACGCTAAATGCCAGCACTACACAGAAGCGAATCTTCACTTTGCAAACACTAGCGTGAAAATGACAAAAAGCAGCTCTATAAAGTGCAAAAATAAAAATTGGAAATAAACCTCAAATTAGTAAAAATTCGGCAACCTATGAGATTCGAAACTGCGACCTAGCGATTATGAGTCTCCTTAAATCTCACTCAAATCTCCTTAAGTCATCACTACTTATTATTTAATCGTTTGTCGCAGCATTGACCTTAATAGCAAAGAGGCAATGAACAATTCATAAGTGACAAAAAAATTAAGCCGATTTAGTAAAACTGCATCAATAGGTAAAACTTTTATTTCGCTGGGAAATTCGATGATATAACTCCACTTTCAAAACTTGAAGTCCATCACAGTTTTATCACAGTTATATAAGAGTCTGAACTACGTTTAACGACTTTCAAAAAATTTGTGCGTTTGCAGTATCATTTTTTCATTCTGAGAAAAATGCCAGTGTTGAATTAGCATCGAAATAAAAACTACGTAGCGGTAAACGAGCCGACATTACTTGAGCGGACATCCGGAGCCGAAAAAAAAATAGTCATTATACAATTTTTTGAGCTATCAATCATTTTGAACTCAAAATTGCAAGCCCCCCAAACACACAGGCGAGCGCAAAGGACACTTTTGTGCCACCAAATGACCCAAAATGAGTAGATTGAGCCGATACATTACAGGCCAAACATTTTTCTACCCAAGCAAAATAAAACTGAAAGAAAAGAAACGAAACACAGAGGCAATGCTGAGCCTCGCACCACTTCTGCTACCACATAAAAATATTAATGCAAGCTAATAGAGAGGAAACAAGCCAAAAAGTCCAAAAAAAACAAATGAAAAAATTTTAGAAGCAATAACTAAGAAAACTTGTCTGGAATGATGGACTTAAATGTCTGAGATGATGTTTTTTTTTCACGGCCAGCGAAAAACACGGCCAGAAACAAAATCGACCGCTATAACAGAAAATTCACAAAAAAATTTTGAGCGGCAACTGAGCCGACAAGACAAAACTTGGATAAATTCCAGTAGAACCGAAAGAAGTTGCAAAAAGTTGCTGTCATGAAAAACTTTAAACTACAAATTCTATTGACTTTTAGCATTTTGAGCGATCCGGAGAAAAGCATAAATATGGTGTTTTCCTTGAAACGGCCCAAAAGTAGGTCAATAAGCCGACCGTGCGACCTTATGTCCATAAGCCAACCGGGTGTCCGCTCAAGTAATGTCGGCTCGTTTACGCTACGTATTTTTTGTTTCGATGCTAATTCAACACGCATTTTTCTTAGAATGAACAAATTGACCAAAAGAATCAAGTGACTTTGTTACAAAAAACTAATAAATCGAAGAAGTCTATGTTCTAATTTAATAACGCTAATTGCCAGCACTACACAGAAGCGAATCTTCACTTTGCAAACACTAGCGTGAAAATGACAAAAAGCAGCTCTATAAAGTGCAAAAATAAAAATTAGAAATAAACCTCAAATTAGTAAAAATTCGGCAACCTATGAGATTCGAAACTGCGACCTAGCGATTATGAGTCTCCTTAAATCTCACTCAAATCTCCTTAAGTCATCACTACTTATTATTTAATCGTTTGTCGCAGCATTGACCTTAATAGCAAAGAGGCAATGAACAATTCATAAGTGACAAAAAATTAAGCCGATTTAGTAAAACTGCATCAATAGGTAAAACTTTTATTTCGCTGGGAAATTCGATGATATAACTCCACTTTCAAAATTTGAAGTCCATCACAGTTTTATCACAGTTATATAAGAGTCTGAACTACGTTTAACGACTTTTAAAAAATTTGTGCGTTTGCAGTATCATTTTTTCATTCTGAGAAAAATGCCAGTGTTGAATTAGCATCGAAATAAAAACTACGTAGCGGTAAACGAGCCGACATTACTTGAGCGGACATCCGGAGCCGAAAAAAAAAATAGTCATTATACAATTTTTTGAGCTATCAATCATTTTGAACTCAAAATTGCAAGCCCCCCAAACACACAGGCGAGCGCAAAGGACACTTTTGTGCCACCAAATGACCCAAAATGAGTAGATTGAGCCGATACATTTCAGGCCAAACATTTTTCTACCCAAGCAAAATAAAACTGAAAGAAAAGAAACGAAACACAGAGGCAATGCTGAGCCTCGCACCACTTCTGCTACCACATAAAAATATAAATGCAAGCTAATAGAGAGGAAACAAGCCAAAAAGTCCAAAAAAAAAACAAATGAAAAAATTTTAGAAGCCATAACTAAGAAAACTTGTCTGGAATGATGGACTTAAATGTCTGAGATGATGTTTTTTTTTCACGGCCAGCGAAAAACACGGCCAGAAACACAATCGACCGCTATAACAGAAAATTCACAAAAAACTTTTGAGCGGCAACTGAGCCGACAAGACAAAACTTGGATAAATTCCAGTAGAACCGAAAGAAGTTGCAAAAAGTTGCTGTCATGAAAAACTTTAAACTACAAATTCTATTGACTTTTAGCATTTTGAGCGATCCGGAGAAAAGCATAAATATGGTGTTTTCCTTGAAACGGCCCAAAAGTAGGTCAATAAGCCGACCGTGCGACCTTATGTCCATAAGCCAACCGGGTGTCCGCTCAAGTAATGTCGGCTCGTTTACGCTACGTATTTTTTGTTTCGATGCTAATTCAACACGCATTTTTCTTAGAATGAACAAATTGACCAAAAGAATCAAGTGACTTTGTTACAAAAAACTAATAAATCGAAGAAGTCTATGTTCTAATTTAATAACGCTAATTGCCAGCACTACACAGAAGCGAATCTTCACTTTGCAAACACTAGCGTGAAAATGACAAAAAGCAGCTCTATAAAGTGCAAAAATAAAAATTAGAAATAAATCTCAAATTAGTAAAAATTCGGCAACCTATGAGATTCGAAACTGCGACCTAGCGATTATGAGTCTCCTTAAATCTCACTCAAATCTCCTTAAGTCATCACTACTTATTATTTAATCGTTTGTCGCAGCATTGACCTTAATAGCAAAGAGGCAATGAACAATTCATAAGTGACAAAAAATTAAGCCGATTTAGTAAAACTGCATCAATAGGTAAAACTTTTATTTCGCTGGGAAATTCGATGATATAACTCCACTTTCAAAATTTGAAGTCCATCACAGTTTTATCACAGTTATATAAGAGTCTGAACTACGTTTAACGACTTTTAAAAAATTTGTGCGTTTGCAGTATCATTTTTTCATTCTGAGAAAAATGCCAGTGTTGAATTAGCATCGAAATAAAAACTACGTAGCGGTAAACGAGCCGACATTACTTGAGCGGACATCCGGAGCCGAAAAAAAAATAGTCATTATACAATTTTTTGAGCTATCAATCATTTTGAACTCAAAATTGCAAGCCCCCCAAACACACAGGCGAGCGCAAAGGACACTTTTGTGCCACCAAATGACCCAAAATGAGTAGATTGAGCCGATACATTTCAGGCCAAACATTTTTC